ATTTATAACCAAAGCATCATGTTACCATCTTCTGGAAAATCCGACAGACCAAAAGAACAGAAAGCCACAATTCCCTCTTCCCACACAACAGCTACCCAGAGATCCTCTGTTTGTGTGCCTTTTCTGTTTTTATATGTGTAAGCATATATTGATATAGGTTTATGAAAAACAAATTTGAGATCCTAACTGTTCATACTCTTTGAAACCTTTTTGTCAGTGTATCAGTTGTCTGCGTTCTGTGGCTAATGTTCTTGTTGTTAAGGGCTGTCAAGTCAGTTCCGACTCATAGCGACCCTGTACAGGGTTTCTGAGGCTGTAAATCTTTACGGGAGCAGAAAGCCTCATCTTTCTCCCGCAGAACAGCTGGGAGTTTCGAACTGCTGACCCTCAGGTTAGCAGCCCGATTCATAACCACTACTCTACCAGAGTTCATAGTCATTTATTATTGGACACTTGAAAGGTGTTTCAACTTTTCCAAAATTGCTCAGACTGCTGTTTGTCATATGATATATGAAGGCATATATTTTTGTGTTGATACTTAGTTATTTCCGTAGCACGCATGTTAAGAAATGGAACTGCTTAGTCAAAGGGTGTTTAAAACACTTTTGAGGTGTAACTGCTTTCCTGAAAGGTCATGTCTGTCTGTGTGTGTTTTCACTAGTCAGTATGCTAGTACTTGTCTTTATCTTTCACTGTGTATGATGCGGAGGGAGATTTAAGGTGATGGTAGATATGGTCTCTGCAAAAAGATTACAGTGTGGTAGAGAATGCATCTGAACTCCCCTTCCCCCTTCTGTTGGGGGTGTTACTATACTTTCAGCCTCAAAAGGAACACTTGTTTAAAACGGGAATTAAAACAATGAGTGAAAGATTGTGTGTCTTTTTCACATTTGGCAGAAATGCCACACAAAATTTGGCAGAAATTTTATAAGCTATAAAATTTATGATTTCTACTCTGAATTTTCAGGTCCTATTTTCTCAAATTAAGTAGTTTCTAGTCTCTGCTACTTTTCATTTGCTCTTCTTAACAACCGTCCTTCAGTAGAGCCCTGATTGTGTTTTCTCCTTTGCTTGAAAGCCAGTCTAGAATCTTGATGTGGTCCCGGGTGACCTAGCTGTCTTTACCTTCGTTTGCACTGTCCTCTCTATCCATCTAAATTGGATTGCCACATTCTTCATGGGGAGCAGTACTTTCCCGTATTGTTTTCTTATTCCTCCCCCCCCCCCCCCCCCCCACCCCCATATTGTTTCTTCTGCCTAAAGGGGTAGGCCTGACCGTAGAATTTCCTGTGACCTCTCCTTGTCTTTCACATATCACTTTTTTCAGGAAGGGGCTGTAGTTAGCATCCCCACTCCTCAGATTCAAGAACACACTCCACTGTGATTTTTCACCTTTGACCCTACATCATACTTTGCTTGAATGCTTGGGTCCCCTGTATTTTACTTCAGTGGTGGTTGCCTTGTCTTATGCTGTCTCCCACCCAATTAAATATAAGGTCACTGAGGGCAAGGATAATTACCTTCATTTTGTACCCCTCCCACGGCATATATTATTCTTGCACATAGTTTAGTAAAAGGTAATCAGTCAATGTTTGTTGTATGAGTAACTCGAATCTACAAACCAGATTATGGTGTTTGGAACCTTTCCTTACCAGGAGTGACACCTGGTATTTATTCACTTGGTGAATGCAGTCACACCTCATTTCATGCTTGTAATCACTTTGAGTGATTTGCTAACAAAGTACAATAAAGTCCAGGGGCAGAGTTCATCCGGACTCTCAGTATACTGTTCTCTCCACAAGAGGGTGCCATTGGACAAAATCGCTTCAAAGTGAGCTGTCTAAGTAGGCTTTAATTGGCTAGTCTTGAATAAGAATTGAACTTGGTATTAAAACCCCAGAAAAGTTACAGCATTTTGTATATGATTATACAGTAAGGATTTGCATCTGTGAGACAAGCCAGGAAAGGTACTATATATTATTTGGGACACAGGTAGGTATTATTATATGTAATATAGGCGGAAAGAAAGATGGTGGTAAAAGATAAATACTTAGTAATCAGAGCAGTTCAGCTGTGAGATAGCCTCTGGGAAGTAGGGAGCTCCCCATGATTATCAGTATCAAAAGCAAGAGTGTGTCATTGAATCCATTTTGTTTAGATTTTGGGCAACATGATCTGTAAGACTCCTTGTAGATTTACAACTGTGTTAAAGTTTATTTTTAGAGTTTTAGCCGAGACACTCAAAAGTTGCAAGGTATTTGTAATTTTTTTTCTTCTGCTGGCATTGCTTGGTTAGCCTAATTCTTTGTCTTTAATATGATTGTCATTTGTTCCAAGTCGCTTTTACCAGAAGGAAAATGGAATTAATTTAAAAAGGGAGAATAAAGATCATAGGAACCCTTCTGGATTTCTTTGACTCTCGCTTAAATTCAGTGCCGGCAAGGTGGGGAAGGTGTTTCAGCTCGTCGCAGTAAATAGATGGAGATGGGCTGACTTTCCTTTTCGTTGAAGCCATCAAGCCAGCGTGCAGGTGGAATCCCTGCAGGAGCAGCTGACTGTGGTCTCCAAGCAGAGGGATGAGACGGCGCTGCAGCTGTCCATGTCCCAGGAGCAGGTGAAGCAGTACGCCCTGTCACTGGCCAACCTGCAGATGGTGCTCGAGCATTTCCAGCAGGGTGAGTTGTGTGTTCAGGCTTTCTGTGATGGATGGGCATTTCGTGCTGTTGGAGTCCTCTTGTACGCTTATAGCAGACATACCACAGTGGATGGCTGGAACAGCAGAAATGTATTCTCTCACAGGCTAGGAGACAAGCAGTCAGACAAGCACTGGCTCTGATGAAAGGCCCTTGTCTCCTTCCAGCTTCTCCAGGCAAGCATTCCTTGGAGAGCTCCATGCATCTTGGCATCAGTTTTCCCCAGGGTCTAGGCGCTTCCCAGTGCAGGGACCCCAGGGCCAAAGGACACACTCTATTGCTAGCTCTTTTTTGGTGGTAGTAGGTCCCTCTGCTTACTTGTTTATAAACATTTTTATATCTCAAAAGAGATTGGATCAGGATACTACCTAATCCTATAGATTACCTCTGGCTTTTCATTAACACCATAGAAGTGAGGATTTACCACACGTAGGATGGTCAGATCACATCGTGGGAATCATTGTGTCATCATGTTAGATCTCATCATGGGGCCAATGACTATATCTTAACTGCTTAGCCTCTGAGAAGCCTGGCCCTGCCACGCTGACGCAAAACCCTAACTACCACCGCCACTGACACGTTAGAGTCTTTATAGTGAAGACTAGAGATGATACACCGATTTAGTAGTTATTAAAACTTTGTTTTTGTATTATATTATTGCCAATTAGTATAAGAGTTGGGGAAATACAGAGTGAAATGTAAGGGTCTGATAAATGAAACAGGTGTGTACCAAAGGTAGACACCCCAATGCAGATGGCTTGATGTGGAGGTTCAACGCTCTCCAGAGTTCTCATCAGTCTAGATTAACTTGCTCTCAGTGCTTCATCTAGACCAAGGGTGGGAAATGGCTGGCCCTTGGGCCATATAAGGCCTATGAAATCATTTGGTCTGGCTCTGCCAAGGCATCTGCAGGTCCAGCCATCACATGAGGGGTGAGTTAATTAAATGTTGAACCAAATATAGCAGGCTTTTTTTTTTTTTTTTTTAACTTTTTACAACATTGATCTCATACAGTGTTTGTCATTTTGTGACTAATTTGACTCAGCATAATGTTTTCCAGGTTCAGCCATGTTGCGAGGTGTTTCACAGATTCATCAGTATTCTTCAGTGTTTTGTAGTATTCCATTGTGTGTACGCACCAAAAAATCATTCTTCTGTTCATGGGCATTTAGGCCGTCTCCATCTTTTTGATGTGTCTCTTGTAGACAGCACATTGAAGGATCCTGTTTTCTTATCCTTTCTGCTCTCTAGGTCTCCCCCTCATTCTACAACTAAGCACACTCATGAAAGCTTATAAGCCAACCACTTCATACCTCTGTAGCCTCCTTATTTTTGGTGTCTAAAGCCAGTGCCTCAATTTCTCGTCTCTTATCAACCCAGTGCACTGAGGAAGCAAGGTTGTTCCTGGATATGAAGAATCCTTCCATTTCGGTTCGAATTTTGAGTCATTGCTTGCAGGCTAATGTGTTGTTGTTTTTTTAAATTGTGAATTATGTAATAGTTTACATGGGAGAACATTAGTTTTACATTCATCCTATCGTATTTCGTTTCATTGCAATGGTTACAATCCCCTCCATGCATTATCAAACAACTAAAAGGTATACCCCACAAGCCTGCCCCTCGGCCATCAGCATACAGACCCTCTCCCTCCCTGAGTCCAGAGTCCCCAGCCATTCTATCTCTCCATGTCATCGTTCTGCCTCCATCTCTGGTGTCACTGTTTCATTGGCTAGGGTCCCGCAATCTGCTCTGCTCTTCTCCGTTTATGGTCCCAGGGACCTGCGCTCCTGGACTGCAAAATCAACCACTCCCCTCCTTTTGTAACAAAACATCTACCTGTACATTTCTAACACTCACAGTCAGTCCTGATAGCAGTTATTCGCTATTGAACAAGAGTTTTATCCCCAATCTCATTTCATCAGCCCCATCCAGATAGGTTGGAAACCACTCAGTGGAGATTCTACTTTCCCCGCACTTCTGGAACTAGGCTCCCTCTTGAAAGCTTGTAAGCCAGTCACATCTTGTTTTTGTAGTCCCCCCCATTTTAGGTAGCCAATCTCTTTTAAGTTGCCCATCCCAGTCAATCCTGTGTACTGAGGGAGTGGGAATGATCCTCACTGTAAAGATTTTTGTTCCCTCTTTGGAGCTACTACATCCATAAGTATAGGTCAAGTTCTAGCAGGCTAATTTAAGTTGATAATATTGTAAGGCCCACAGATGATGTTATAAATCAGGGGTGGTGGTGGTGAAGTGCCATTGAATTGATTCTGACTCATAGCGTTTCTGAGGAGTAGCTGGTGAGCTTGAACCACCAACCTTGCTGTTCAGACCAACTTTGCAGTGTAGCACATTAACCCACAGTGCCACACCAGGCCTCCAAATAAGGAGGCGGGAACCTTTTTTTCTGCCATGGGCAATTTGGACAAATATAACATCATTTGTGGGCCATATGCAATTATCAACTTAAAAGTTAGCTATGTTTGGTTAGGGAGTTAATGCACCAGACTGCAGAGCCATTTGAACTGCAAGGTCGGTGGTTCAAGTTTACCAGCTGCTCCTCGGAAACCCTGTACAGGGTTCCTATGGGTTAGAACTGACTCGATGACATTTTACAGCAACAACATATTTGGTTCAGCATTTGATGGACTCACCTCTCGTGACGGCTGGAACGGTGGTTACCTTGGCAGGGCCAGACCAAATACTTTTGAGGGCTTTCTATGGCCCACGATGTTCCCCACCCCTGTTATAAATACCCAAATGGCCCTTGCCAGGGAAAAGGTTCCCCACCCTGATCTAAGTTGGGAGTAATGACATTCTCTAATCCGCATGGAAAGAACTTTTCTGGAGTCACAGACAAGGACCAGAGCAGTTGTACCTCAAGCACCAAATAAGCTTTTTGGTTTCCTGCCTCCCCAGTCTCTTGTGTATCCTCTAGACCCATCCATTTGCTTGCTTGTCCACTCATTACTTATTAAGGGTCTCTTAGCTAGGCATTGGGCGAACTCCTAGTCAAGGGTGACAAAGAAACTTTCGTGGCTCTGTGGGCTAACTTTTGAACTGCTAACCATCAGGTCAGTTGTTCAAACCCGCCAGCCACTCCACGGGAACAAGAAAGAGGCTGTGCACTCTTGTAAAGAACAAGTCGGCTGTGTCCTGCATGGGTCGTTGTGAGTTGTCTCAAGGGCAGTAGGTGTGTATGTGTGTGGCGAGGTCATGAGGGAGTATGAGGAAGTTACAGGGGGCTTATGGGGTCCAGCCTAAGTAAAACTTGACCTCTGTACATGTTGGCAGCCTTCAGAGCGACTCCTGTGGTTGAAATCCTGGAAGTGTCAGGCTTCTCTAGGGCTGCTCTGCCAATTGCCATCATTACTAGGATGAGATCTGTGGAGTGGTGTGGGGCTGAGGCCACAGAGAAAACGTTGCCTGAGAGGAAATATTTCAGTTCTGAGGAGAGCGGCGAGCCTGTGAGATGGGCAGAACGGTGACCTCATTTCTCTACTTTCCTGAGTCTTACCGCTTAGCCGGGATCATTGTCGTGTTAGAGAAATGTTGGATTTACAGGAAGTTCTATTCCACTTGCTTTCTGTGGAGTGACACATTCTGATTAAGTAATTTTCTGGACAAGAAAAAATGCATAGAAATCTCCCTGCAGTTCCTTTGCAGTCTTCCCGTTTTGCACTAGACTGGAATTTCTGCAGATTAATATGGAGCCCTGGTGGGTGTTCCAGGCTGATGCGCTGGACTGGAAAGTCAGTTCGAACTTCAAGGTCAGCGGTTCAAGCTCACCAGCCACTCCTTGGAAACCCTCTACAGGGTTGCTGTGGGTTGGAACCGACTCGATGGTATTTAACATATGACACGGTGGTGCTCACGGTCCCTTCATGTGTGCTAGGTGTGCTGTTGCCAAAGCCACATCATCTTTGTCTTTTTAACACTACAAGGGGAGTTTTAAAAGTTTGTGGGGAAATTCCATCATCTTTTCCTGCCATGTTTCCTCAGCCTCTTTGAAGCCTCCTCTTGTTTTAGGTTCTTGGTAAGCATGCCTGCTGCTGACAGTACAGAAAGCCAGGAGGGTGCCTCGCTCACAGCCTACGTGCTGGGCCAGTGCTCCTTCCCCTGAAGCCACATTTGTCTGTTTGTCTGTCTGTCTGCAGACTTCCCTGTCCCGGCTCCCTGCCACCCTGGCCATGCAGGTCCTGCTCATTCCCTCGCCGCAAAACGGGCGTCACTGCTTCGCACTAGCTGCACTTCCATCAGTCTTTGAATACCTGTGGATGCAAAAGAGAGAAGTAATACAGCCTTTTGAATTTGTTCCAGGAACCCTGGTGGTGCAGTGTTAAAGCGCTCTGATGCCGACCACAATGGTGGCGGCTTGAACCTTGCAGTTCTAGGGCAGGACGGCCATCTGCTTCCCTAAGGATTACAGCCTTGGAAACCCTCAGGGAGCAGTTCTGCCCTGTCCTACAGTGTTGCTATGAGTCGGAATCGATTCAATGGCAATGGATTTTGTTTTGTTTTTTCTCTCATCAAAGCAACTGGCTGCTCTGCTCCATGGCCCCAGAGCTGCCCCCAGTCTCGGCTCCCCTTGGTCTTCTCCCAGCCCCTCTGCTTCTGGGGCCACAAGGACTGCTGATCGACTCCCTTGGCAGTAACTGTAGCAGCGATGCCACGTGCCTGAGCCTGGCAATAGGTTCTGGTGGGTTGGTATAGATAGTTAATGTCTTCATATAAAAGCTACAAAAGAAAACCTTTTAGACTATTCTTATTGGTTTATTAAAATGTCAAGTGGCTTAGCATTGCAGTTATATCACACAATTGCAAAATATTGATGTAACATTTCCTTTTTCTATTTAGAGGAAAAAGCTATGTATTCTGCCGAGCTAGAAAAGCAAAACCAGCTGGTGGCTGAATGGAGGAAGAAAGCAGAAAACATGGAGGGAAAAGTGGTGTCATTACAGGTAGGCTGAAAGAATCTTCTTTTGTCAATCTTTTTATTCATGGAAAATTACGTGTAGAATCTTTGTTTTGGAAATGATCTCCCACATTTTTCATTTAGTATTTTTTGTTCGAGTGTCTACGTGCAGCCTCACGCTGGGGTGTAAAAGTCAACCGGTATGTAAGATTTCCTTCCTGGGACGTCTAGTCTAGAGTTGTTGTTGTTGTTGTTATGTGCCATGGAGATGGTTCCGACTCATAGCGACCCTGTACAGGGTTTCCGAGGCTGTAAATCTTTATGGGAGCAGAAAGCCTCATCTTTCTCTTGCAGAACAGCTGGAAGTTTCGAACTGCTGACCTTGAGGTTCATAGCCTGATTCGTAACCACTACACTACCAGAGCTCCTTGAGTAGACACAGCAAATATGATCTTGTTGTTGTTGTTAGGTACCATCGAGTCATTGTTGACTCATAGTGACCTTATACACATCAGAATGAAATGCTGCTTGATCCTGGGCCAACCTTACTATCATTGCCACACTTGAGCCCATTGATGCTGCCACTTTGTTAATCCTTCTCACTAGGGGTCTTCCTCTTTTTCTCTGACCCTCCACCCTACCAAACATGATAGCCCTCTCTAGTGACTGGTTCCTCCTGGCAGACCGTCTGAATTCTTTCAGCACACTGTGAATATTTTAGAGGTTTCTGAAACAAACTCAAATGCTCTAAAATGTTAGCTGAGTAATTTTTTTAAAAAAAAATATACTGGGTATTCTATTTTGCATGGTTAAAAATAATTTGTGGTCTTAGTAAATTTTTTTCTTTACAGCAACATCACCCTTTAAAATATATTTTTTTTTCTTTATTGTTGGGTCATAAATAGACTCTGGCAGTCACTGATGGAAAATAATAAAATTTACTTACTTGTCATTGCAGGTGAATAAGTATTTCAGGAACATTAATATCCTGATAAGTGAAGGCATACTTGCTGTAGAATTTAAAAATTTTTATTAAATATTGAGTGGCTATAAACAATGTTTAGAGAATACGTATAAAATTTAAGAGTAACAAGAGAGTAGAGACCCGTGTACTTATCACCCGACTTGATAGAGTATCACCCTGTGCTCCTGCCAAGTGTTCGTCCCTTTCCTACCACCTTACAGAAAACCAGTCTTCCCAAATGGTACGATTTTCACCCCTGGGTTTTCTTTACAAGGAGTCCTAGTGGCACAGTAAGAAGTTCTAGTAGCATAGTGGTTACAAGTTGGGCTCTTACCTCAAAGTCAGCAGTTCAAAACTACCAGCCATTCTGTGGGAGAAAGATGAGGCTTTCTGCTCTCATAAAGATTTACAACTTACCCGTATAGGATCACTATGAATCGGAACCAACTCCATGGCACACCACCACCACCAGTGGCACAGTGGGTTAAGCACTGGGCTGCTAACTGCAAGGTTGGTGGTTCAAGCCCTTCAACTGCTCCATGGGAAAAAGACGAGACTCCTGCAAACATTTAGTCTCAGAAACCCTATAGAGCAGTTTAGCTCTGTCCCCATAGGGTTACTGTGAAGTGACTTCATGGCAGTCGGTTTGGTTTTGTTTTTGGTCTCAAACCAGAGGGAGTCCTGGTGGTGCCATGGTTAAGTACTTGACTGTGAACAAGAAAGTTGATAGTTCAAACCCACCAGCTGATCCAAAGGAGAAAGATGTGGCCATCTGTTTCCGTGATGAGTACAGCTTTGGAAACCCTCTGGGGCAGTTTTCCTCTGCCTTTAGGGTCCCTCTGAGTTGGAATAGACTCAGTGGGTTTGGTGTTTTGGTTTGTTTTTCTTGCTGGTTTTATCACATAGTTTGCATCTCCAAACAATAGAATTTGGTTTTGCAATTTTGAACTCTTAAGCATTGGGATTTGAGCTGTACATAAATTGAAAAACTTTCTGTGATTTGCTTGTTTTTTTTATTTTTATTTTTGTTAGTATTATGTTACCCAGATTCACTCATGCAACTGTGTATAGATGGTTCTTTATCTTTACTGCTGCTGCTCCACCCCATGATGGTTATTTAATGAACCATTTTACGTTACAAGATGCTCCTGATATTGGCTCTGCAAACTGTGGGTATGCACGTTTCTGTTCACGTGCTCACATGTGCTGGAGGCCCTTTCAGCTGTGTATATTGATTGGAATCCCTGAGCCATGGTGTGTACACAGCATCTTCCTTGGCTCTCAGTGATGGCAGGCGTTCTCTGAGTGGTTGTACTAAGTTGCTTCTATGCGCTGTTAGCGTGTTAGCTCTTGATAACATCACGTGCTTTAATTGATGCCAGTCTCTCTCTAGTTTCTCATGAGGCTCAACATTTTTTGGTGTGTTTATGCCCATTATGCGTCATTTCTTGTCAGTTGATTACTACATTTGGGAGATGTATTTTCTCCAGTACTTGAGTTGTTTCCAGGGGGACCAGAGCACATGATGTCACACCGGGGAGATAGAGTCAGAGCTGGACTTCAGATTAGGTTTTTTTTCTTTTTAAGTTGAAAGATAATTTAGAAAAAGAACAAAAATAATTTAGAAAAAAGAACAAGAGGGAGTGAATAATGATAAAAGTTGCAATCAATGCAATGAAAACCAGACACTAAAAAGAATAATCAAATGTAAGGGCTGATATTTGAAAGTTTTAGTGCAGTTGTATGTATGTATGAGTGGTACAAAGTTTAAAAGTCACTTGGAAAATTTAAATATTTAAATGTCTTATGTGCTGTAATTTTTTGTGTGAATTTTGAATAGAAACTTATAAATTTCAGTTCCACTATATCTGAGTTCAGCTAGGGATGCAGAATCAGGAGTTAGATACATACAACATGTGGATATTATATACTGTGAGGACCTTCGAAGGGTTCATGGGAAAATGGAGTTAAAAGATAATGGAATTCTTCCACAGCCTTTTTGAAGCTCCCTCATAATATCGATAGTGTATATCTCTCTTCCATAGGTACAGAGAGCTGGATATGTAGTGTACAGACACATACATGTACACATGAGGTTTATTAAAGGAATGAGCTAATATGATTGTGGGAGCTGGCTACGCAAGACCGAAATGAGGAGGATTGGCAGTTAAGATGGGCAGGCGAGGGCCAGGCTGGAATTCATAGGCACGAGTGGCAGCTGCTGTCCACAGGGGCCAGGGAAGATGGTGCCCAGGATGAAGCTCTCTGGGCCCTCGCTGCTGTTCACAGAAGGAATTCCGTCTCTTTTTAGGCAGCCTCAGCTTTGCTTTTCAGGCCTCTCCCTGGTTCAGTCAGACTCATCGAGATTATCCAGGGTAATCTGTCTTCATTCAGTTGATCAGATTAGGAACAACAACAGCTCTATTGTTGGATTCACTGGCTGGAGACTGCAGCCTGGCTAAGATGACACATCAGAGGCATCTGTGCTCTCCATGTACATGGAAAAGTTGACAGAAAATGATTAAGTGGAACATTTATGTATATTTATCTATAAAGCTGTTTGTGTTGTTAAGTGCCATTGAGTCAGTTCCGACTCATTGTGACCCTGTCTAACGTTTCTGAGGAGCAGCTGGTGAAGCAGCTGGGTGTGAACCTCTAGGTTAGCAGTTTAAACCAATCTTGTGGTCCGGTGCATTATCCTACAGCGCCACACCAGGACTCCATATATAAAGTTGTTGTTGTTGTTAGGTGCCATCGAGTCAGCACTGACTCATAGTGACCCTGTGTACAACAGAATGAAACACTGTCTGGTCCTGCACCAACCTCACAATCATTGCTATGTTTGCATTGCTGCTGCCACTGGACCAATTCAACTTGTTAGGGGTTTTCCTCTTTTTCCCTGACCCTCCACTTTACCAAACATGATGTCCTTCTCCTGTAACTGCTCCCTCCTGATAATATGTCCGAAGTATGAGAGATGAAGTCTAGCCATCCTAGCTTAAAAGGAGCGCTCTAGCTGTATTATTTCCAATATAAAGTAGAATACGTTTGTTATTTCTGCAGGATAGTAAATAACAGAGTCCTGGTGTGGTGTTATAGGATAAGTGCTGGACTGATAACTGCAGGGTTCAAACCCACCAGCTGCTCCTCGGAAACCCTACACAGAATCTTTGTGAGTCGGAGCTGTCTCTATGGCACTTAACAGCAACACTGGGTAATCACTAAACCAATGCCATTGAGTTATTCTGACTCTGTGATCCTGTGTAGGGTTTCTGCGACTAAATCTATTTGGGAGCAGGTAGCCTCATCTTTTTCCTGGGGAGTTTTGAACTGCCAACCTGTTGTTAGCAGCCCAGTGCCTAACCTACAGTGCCTCCAAGGCTCCTCCATATTATGGTAGTTCTGTGCTGTGGAATCGGTTCCGACCCATAGCGACCCTGCACAGGGTTTCTGAGGCTGTAAATCTTTATGGGAGCAGAAAGCCTCATCTTCCTCCCGTGAAACAGCTGGTAGTTTCGAACTGCTGACCTTGAGGTTCACAGCTAATTCATAACCATTACGCTACCAGAGCTCCTTCCTCCATATTATAGACCTATAATAAATATGTAATATGTTATACATAATTTAATTTATTATATGCAGTTTTCCCACATTATTTTTACAAACTTTCCTCCCTTAAAGGAACGGTTGGATGAAGCGAATGCTGCGTTGGATTCAGCATCAAGACTTACAGAACAGTTAGATTTGAAGGAAGAACAAATTGAAGAACTGAAGAAACAAGGTAGGTTGTTTTTTTTTTGTTTGTTTGTTTTTTACTATAAGACTAGTAGTAGAATCGAATCTCCTTGACTGAATTCCTTCCATCTGAGAATGGCTCTTAAGAGTCATTATGTTAGCTGGCGAGCTAGTTGTCTTAGATATTCAGGCAGTTCAGTTGTGTTGGCTCTTTGCCCCACTGACCACTAGGGGCCATTGGTTGATCTGACTTTTGATGGCTGTGACTTGTTTCTTTCGAATACATGTTCATCCTCCTTAAAGCTTTGGGAGTGGGCAGTACTGTTAGGGAACGGATGACATTGGGTGCAATGGATGTCTGAGCTAAAGCTCAGTTTTTGTGATTGTAGATGGGGCTTTGCACACAGCTTCTTGTCATTTGTGTTGTGTTGCATGCAAGGAATTTCCCAAGTGCTGTGAGTTCCCTAAGGTGAGTCCTGTGCTTAGGATTATCATCAGGGAGATCTGTGGGCACCCTTGGGTCTCAACATTGTTGAATCTAACAGCTGACCAGGATGACATGTCCTCACTTAACTTTTGTTTTAGGAGTCACCAACAAGCGGAAGCTGCACTTAGTAGGTAGTGAGTCAAGATGACCAGAAAGGTGGTGTGGGAGCCTGAAAAATCACCAGCTTCAGGTGTCTGGGTTAGGCACATCAGCACCAAGTCACATTGTTGGGGAATGCTCAGCTGCAAACCAGAAGTTGGCAGTTCAGACCCAAGTAGTGTCTCCATGGGAGAGAGACCTGGTGGTTTACTTCCCTAAAGATTACAGCCAAGAAAACCCTGACGTCCCGGTCCATCTGTCACCTGGGTCACTGTGAGTCAAAGTGGACTCAGTGGCACTTAACAACAACAAAAAGAACTGAGAAACAGGCAAGAAAAAAAGATGGCATAGCAGACCTATTGACTATGATGACTTAAGGGGCAAGTAGGCAAGAACTACTTTGCAGAGGACAAGGCAAAGTAAGTTGGCCTAAATCAGCAGAAGACAGATCTTTAGGAAAACAAGAAGCAACAAAATGGATGGAAAGTGGTTGTCCTCAAGATAACTTGATTATCAGGCAAATTACTGCTCAATTAAAAGTTTTCTGTTGACGATGTAGGACTTGGCCAACCTTGGAACCCTAAATCTAGGGAAGGGGCTGGAAATGGTCAGTAAGTGTTTATTATGAACATTGTACGTAACATCAGTGTATTGTTTTTGGTCTTTTCTTACTCATTTGCCTTTCATAAACAGTTCTCAAGCAGGAGAGATTAGTGCTGTTTTGTATAACAAAGAAACTGAGATTTGAACCCTAATCATTTTACCCCATAACCAAAGCTCTCCATCTTTTTGCTTTCCTTAGCTACTTCTTATTGGGAAAAAGGTTATTTTTAGTCTGACTAGTATTTTGTTCTGTGTACCTCTATCTCCCTTGAAATTGGGCAGTGTCCTCTGTGTCCTGTTGGGGAGTAAGTGTAGGGTTGGGAAACAATCAAGTTAGGTTGAAGGCCAAAGCAATTACAGAGTCATCTGTAAATTATCTGGGAGCTCAGAGTGGACACACTGGGGACTTGCTGTGCACTCAGGGATCAGCCTAAGAACTGTTACCCTAGGGTAGGACTAGGACAATAGAGGTGAAGGGGCAGTTCCGGATCAGCTCCTTGGTCTCTAGCAACTCAGGCTGTATGTTGTGCAAATGTCTACTAGCTAAGGCTGCATCCTGTTAGGCACCTGTCTGAATCATTCCCAGTATATGGTGTTATCGTTAAGTGCCGTCAAGTAGATTCCGACCCATAGCGACCCTGTATAGAGCTTCCAAGGAGCAGCTGGTGAGCTTGAACTGCTGACCTTACAGTTCAGACAGCTTTGTAGTCTGACGCATTAACCACAGCACCACACCAGGACTCCAGTATATGATAGTGTGATTTAAGAAAAACTCTGACACGTTGTGGTTGATACACATGATCAGTTTCCAGTCAGACACCTATTTCAGTCCTCAGGAGTAATGTGCTTTCAGGTTTTCTTTACGATACCTGACAAGGTTTAGGCTCTCATGCATGTAAACAATCACAGTACTAGTAATAGAAACTTGGGACTCATTTTGTGCAGTTGGCATTCGCTAGAAAAAAGTCTTGCTTATGCTTAACTCAACTGGCATTCGAGAGGGCAGGCAGGAGGCCAGTATTGTACAGACAGGAAGGGGGAGAGTAAAGAGACATTTCGTTCTGGTGCGTCTTTAGGCCATTCTGGCCACTTACAGCTCTTAACAGCCTGTTTTTATATATTACCTAAGTGCCTATAGTGTTTTGATATCTTGAAACACAAAGGCGATTTTACTTTCTCAAAGCTGCATTCTTCTGATTTGATAATATAAATGAAACTTTGATTGGCTGGGTTGTTTCAGAAAAAAAAAAATGTGTATTTTCTTTCATAGATCATTAAGTACTTTAAATGTTGATGGATGTTGTAATACTGTATTTTATTTTTAACACAAAACTTGGCCAGACAGCAAAAAAAATTTGCCAGGAGAAATAATTTTGAAAAAGACAGATTGGCTTTTGCTGTAAGAAAATAGAGAGACTTGAATTATAGAGGCAAACTATTGTTTTAACCGATGATTAGGTGACCCGCAGTTTCAGCATTTAAACAATATTAGGAAATGTGCTTTAAGAAAGTGATCAGTTATTCTGAATGGTGGGTTCTGTCATTGCTACCAGCAATGAGGTCACTCAAGTCTGGGTCGGACATAAGAGGAGAGGTATTGCCTGTCACGTCAGTATTGAAACAGTAGATTGTTGATGACTTTAAGCTTTCTCAGTGTACAGAGGGGTCGGTGCCATCTACATGCAGCTGTGATTATGGGCTGAGGGTTTTTACAAACATCGTGTGAGAACATGCTAAACATTAATGAGAACTAACTGCTTGGCTTTACGGTACATGCGATGGAAAATACCAGATAGTATCTTTTTCTTTCTTTCTTTTTTTTTTTTTTAGAAACTTAGCTACAGAAATAACCTAGAGCATAGATGTTAGCAGGTCAGGACAGTAGTGACCCACGGTGGTTATCGGACACATTTAGTTCTCCATTAAGGTTCCCACTATGGGTCAAGGGGCATTCCCTGGATGGAAGGCATGTAAGTGGAGCTTTAAGCCAGTAGTAGGATCTGATACAATGTGTACTCACATGAGGGGGAGTGGGGAGGGGAGAATGAGAGAGAGTAACCACCAACCTGTTGGTTAGGAGCTGAGTGCTTAACTGTGTGTGCCACCCAGAGAGTCCTCTGAACACCATGTTGTTGTTAGGGGTGCTTGGATTGGTTCCTACGCATAGTGACCCTGTGTACAACAGAATGAAATGCTTCCCAGTCCTTCCTGCGTCATCCTCACAATTATTTTGTAACCGATTTTTATAGCCACCGAGTCATGTCTCATTGAGAGTTTGCCAGTTTTACACTGACCCTCCACTTGACCATGCTGATTCTGATGTCTGTCTTCAGACTGGTCCCTCCTGATAACGTGTCCCAACATCATGAGAGGAAGTCTCTCCATCCTTGTTTCCAAGAAGCATTCTGGCGTACTTCTTCCTGGACACATTTGTTTGTTCTTCTGGCAGTGTCTTTGCTAACTCCGTAACTCTGATGTGTGAGTGCTTCTCCAGTCTTCCTTACTCACTGTCCACCTTCACGGGCATATGAAGTGATTGAAAAAATTTAATAGATAAAATGTTGGCTGGTAGAAGAGATAACTGTTTTCCTTCCTACTAAATGAACATGTTTCTTTCCTAATGGTTCTAAGGACTTATTTCACAGGCCACCCTGTACTTTATTGTTTTCCCGAAGTCATGCCACACTAGTCCTCTGTGACGCAGGTAGGACAGCAGCTCTAATTAACTATTGTGAGCTCATCAAAGTTCAGAATGACTACGGACTTATCAGCATGAGAAATCGTACACCTGTGGAGTCCCCTGGGTGGTGCAGGGAATGTGCTTCACTGCCAACTGAAAGGTTTAAGGTTCAAGTTCACACAGAGATGCCTTGGAAGAAACACCTGATGTTCCACTTCAGAGAAAGCCCTTTGGAACACATTTTTCCTCTTGACACACGTGAGGTTGCCGTGAGTCGTAATCGACTTGGTGGTAACTGGATGGCATCTGGCTATATTTGTGACCAATTTGCCATGTTTCTATTTTCACTCCTTGTTCTCTACCGCTCTCCTTGAAATTCCTGCCTAAATAAAAGTGAAAAAGAATTCTGGTGGCGTAGTGGATTATGTGCTGGCTGCTAACTGGTAGCTCAGTAGTTTGAATCCACTGGCCGCAGTTGGATAAAGATTTACAGCCTTGGGAACTCTAGACAGGATTGCTGTGAGTTGGAACCGACTCAACGGCACACAACCATCACCATCAAATGAAGATGATTAGATAAGATTGAAGTAGAAAGCACAATGTCACTGGTTTTGCTATCATTAAAATGGTAAGACTTTTCTGTCATGCACAGAAAAATTGGTCTTTGTGACCAGTACAGGTCTAGGTACTAACATTGAGACTATCTTTTGGCCCATCAGCCAGTTTATACCTGTGTCATAAAGGGCTTCATAGCTCTTCTTCTTTTTCTTTCTTTAAGAAAGTTTCATGACTACTTTTTAAAAAGTCTTCTGTGGGTTGAGAATGGAAAAGTTCCTTTCTTTTTGAAAAGCAAATCTGAAAGATTGTCTGAGTCCCAGTACAAACTGTAACATGAGGCACAAAAACATGGTTAAAACTGCAAATATAAAAGAATCCTAAAATGTTTTTCATGGAACAACCTTTATGGTGCTGGATGGTCGAGTTTTTCATTTTAAATAAAGACTTTCCATTTTCCAGGACATGATTTATACAAGAAAACATATAATGTCCTGTTGGACATAGGCCAAATACATTCCCAGACGCTTTGTTACCCAAACCTTTTGAGGGATTTCTTTATAGATGTTTTTGGCAGAAGTAGTGATTTTTAGAGGAAATATATAAGAAGTACCAGATGCAG